TAACTTGTTAGAATAATTCTAATAAAGGTTATTCTCTCTCTCTCTCTCTCTCTCTTTTTTTTTTTTTTTTTGTTTTGTTTTGTTTTTGGAGACAGGTTTCTCTGTGTATACCTGCTGCCCTGGAACTCGATTTGTAGACCAGGCTGGCCTCGAACTCACAGGGATCTGCCTGCCTCTGCCTCCCGAGTGCTGGACTCCTGCATGTGTAGATGTGGATTGCAGGCACGGACCACACCTTACTGAGGTTGTGATAGTTGAAAGGGAAAGCCACTTTTAAAAATTATTTTATTTTGTTTTTGAGACTGTCTCACTCTGTATCTCAGGCTAGCCTTGAACTAAAACAATTTTCCTGCCTCAGCCCCCTAATGTTACTACACGCAGCTGGGAAGACCACATTTAATGTGCAGACCAGTTAAGGTCATTTCAGGGTCAATGATGGTTATAAAGTAATACCCTGAAGTGGTGAGAGGGTGAGCTTGTGTGTTTGGTAAAGAGGAGGGAGGGAGGGAGGGAGGGCTGAAGAGAATATGAACTTAAACTATCTTCTGACTTTACCCCAAAATTTTAGTTTTACCCCCCACTCTCCCTCTCCCCCTCCCCTCTCCCTCCCCTCCCCCTCCCTCTCTTTTTAAAACAGTATCTCTTTGAAAACCGGTACAGGATCTGCTGGCCTCTGCCTCTTCCTCTGCCTCCTGAGTGCTGGGATTAACGGTATGCAGCAGCACGACCAGCAGGTTTCCTTCAAGGGAAAAGATTCGGTTCTATCCTAGCACCACTCAGGGGAACATCCAGTAGCTTTGGAGACTCTGGTTCTTTGACCACAGACTCTTCATTGTCTGAAAGAGTCGGAAGAGTCCCAGTTGGTCTTGCCTCCTGCGCTCTCTCTCTGAGAACACAGCAAATGCATATACATGTTTGTATGTGGGATGTTTTAGACCAGAGCCAGAGCTGTGTTATAATGCTAGTTTTCAGTTTTCCACCAATCACTTTTAATTCTTAGTAAGTCCTCGTACTGATTTTTGTCATAAAACATTAGCTCAATACTGAAGAGACTAAGGCCTGGCCTCCTGCCCTATGGTTTAGGCAGATGCCATAGTCACTCTGTGCTTGGTTTCTTCATCTGTAAAATAAATGGTGTTGAAGGGTTGATTTGAAGTTTCCTAATTGCTCTAAAATGCTATTGAGGAACGCTAGGGCTTTAAAGAGCAGGCTTTGCATTATATATAGAAAGTGATTATCTCAATCCAGCTGTGAACACTTACAGGGATAAACTCTTGGCAAGTTAAAAATGATGGTGCAGAGGAGAAGGGGGCAGAGTGGATGTCAGAAACGAGATGAACAGGATTCAAAAAGACGACTTCTTTTCTAGTGTACCCAGTAGGTGGATCTGCTACTTTTAATGTAACAATGACCTAAAATGGAAAAAAGTAGCTTCATTAAAACCTATGGTGGTGTGTGTGTGTGTGCGTGTGTGTGTGCGTGTGTGTGTGTGTGTGTGTGTGTGTGTGTGTGTGTGTGTGTGTGTGTGTGAGAGAGAGAGAGAGAGAGAGAGAGAGAGAGAGAGAGAGAGACACTAGGGGGGTCGCGTTATTTTGGATAGTCTAGGCTGGCCTTGAACTCCTTGAACTCCTAATCCCCCTGCTTCTACCTCCCAGATGCTGGGATTATAGCCATGCACTACTATACTAACCTTGAATATATTTTTGATTGAAAATTGAAGTCATGCTTTTGGGGAGGTGTTGGGAATATGATTGTATCACTGACTGCTCTTGGAAGGTCAGACTAGTTCGATCTCCGATCTGCTCAACTTTTTTTTTCTTGAGAATTATGTCATCTTCTCACAGTGAGTGCCTTGGGAAAGTAGGGTACAAGTCCAGGCATAGGAACCACTGATGGAAAGAAAGCCAGGAGTGTGCTTTCCAGTCTTTTTTTTCTGCCTTAACATTGTTTTGCAAGCTTGCCTGGGAAAGCAGTCTTAGCTTTAAGAATTGCTGGGTGAAGGTGTCGTTTTTGAATTACCATTGCTAGTTTATTGTTATTGATTATTGATTATGGTTAGTAAACATAACTTTGGGGCTGCGGGCCGGGGCACATACCTATAATCTTAGCACTTGGGAGCATTATGGCGACAGGAGGGTCAGGATGTAAGGTCATGCTTGGCCGTGTGGGGATTTTGAAGTCAGCCTGGACTACATAAGACTATCTCAAACACCAAAACAAACAAAAGGTTGGTTTGGGTTTCTTGCCTTTTTATTGTAAATTATTGATTTTACTTCCCTTCAGTTTTTCATCTTTGAATGCTCTTACGATTTTGTCTCTGTTTTCAGTTTTTCTTGTACATTTCTTTTTCTCATGTGTATGCGTGTGCACATTAGTGCACATGCTAAGGTCAGAGGATACCTTGCAGGAGTGGTTTTCTCCTATCATGTGGGGCCTGGCCGGGGCTGACAACAAATGCCTTCATCCACTGAGTCTTCTCCCTGGCCCAGCCTGGCTAGCTTTCATCTTTCTTGTGCGTGTGCTCCGTGCCCCCTCACGTGCTCTGTTCCGTTCTTTCTTCTCTCTGGTGTTTGTTTTGGTGGTGGAGGTAGAACCCCACCAACCACGAATTAAGAAAATGCCCTTTTCATGTGTTCGTTCCCATCTTCTGGAGGCGTTTCTAATGGAGGCTTCCTCCTCTCCGGTGACCGTAGCTTGTTCGAGGTGACAGGAGGCCAGCACGGAGCCTACCTTCCTCCTTTACCTCGTCTCTGGTGACGGTCGCTTGTTCAAGGTGACAGGAAGCCAGCACGGAGCCTACCTTGCACCTTTACCTTGTCTCTGGTGACGGTCGCTTGTTCAAGGTGACAGGAAGCCAGCACGGAACCTACCTTGCACCTTTGCCCTCTCCGGTGACCGTAGCTTGTTCAAGGTGACAGGAGGCCAGCACGGAGCCTACCTCGCAGCTTTGCTTCCTGTGGCAGCTCTGCTGCCCCTGCTCTGTGGAAAGGTCAGCGTTATTGATCTTTAAAGTTAATGCTCGTTGTGTGTCTCATTTTCTCAGCACACAGTTCTCTTATGCGGAGAATGAAATGGTTCAGATTTTTAACGAGGTATTGTAGCTGTCCTTTTGAAGAACTAAGACTTTAAAAAGGACACTTTTAGAAAAGAATTACTATTATATGTATGGAATCCTAATGAAAATCTGCTAGTTCATGAGTATTGTAAGAAGAACAATTCTGTATTCTTTCGTCAGTTCTACATTTGAACATGTCCATGACTGAGAAGTAATCATTAAAATATATTAATACAAAAGTACTTCAAAATTAAAGTTTTTTTGCATTATTTTACTCACACTATAATTCCAGCTCTTGGGTCATTGAGGCAGGTGAATCTCTGAGAAATCCAGGTCAGCTTGGGCTACATGATGAGTTTAAAGTCAGTGTGGGATATGTAGCAATACTGTCTCAAATCTACACACACACACACACACACACACAGACCCCAAACAAAAAAACTCCAAAACAAAAACAAAAAACTCTGCTCCAAAACCATAAAATCCCTTGGGTTTCTGAAATACAGCTTTGATGTGGTGAGATCATTGCTTTATTTAGTTTTTAATTCTTATTTATGTGTAAACAGGGTATCCTGTAGCTTAGACTTTTCTTGAGTTTTCTATGTAAGAAAAGGAGTTTGTGGCCTTAAACTCCTGATCCTTCTGCCTCATTGCTGGGATTTCAGGCACGTGCCACCATGCCTGAACAGTTTTCTGGGGAGAGTTTTTTCATGTTGATTTCCAAATGAACTGAATGGAGATTATGAAAAATGTAAGGGCTTTCAAAAATTCTGAAGCACATGGTAATGGATGCACAGCAGGTCCATATGCTGTGTATCTATAATTACAGTTGATCATTATTTTTGCTCTAGAGAAGGCTATGGCTGACATCCAAGAGCGTGAAACTGGTGAATATGGACATTCACATTGTTTTTTTAAACAGGAAGAGCTCTCTCCCAGTTGAATATCCTGCTCTCCTACATAATGTAGCATCCCCTAGAAGAAGAAGTTACAATTCTGGATCTTCCTGTGAAATTTACATGGGTATTTGCATCAGATGAAGACACTGACTTCTTCCTCCCATACATGGACTTGGTGCCATAGGCACACTCATTTTGCCGTCTCTCCACGCCGCCGCCACTGATGGCTCCTTTCCGCCTCCGCGCTTCTGCACAGCACCAGCCCCCCCGCCTGTGGTGCACCCCCTCCCTTCAGTCCATTTCCTTCTCCCTTCAAAACTACCATCCCAGATCCTTTCCTCCGGGAAGCCGCTCATCACCTCCTCCATGTAACTCTTACTGTAGTCTCGGCCTCACCCGAGTACAGACACAGGATTCAAGTCCGTGCGCTGCGTAGCCGTGACTTGCTGGCCGTCAGGCAGATCAACTGCCCCGTCTGATTTCCACAGCCCTTCTGTGCCTTGCTTCCACTTCCCAGAGGACAACAGAGCACATGCTCTTTCTCCTTACTACAGGCTTTCCTTCAGGCATCTTCTTAGGTTCAGCTGTGCTAAAATTTGAGCATTTCCCCTCAGTGTAAAGTGTGAGTGTGAGTGTGGGTGTAGACAGGACCTCATTATGTTGCCCAGGTTGCCTGAAGTCACTAGTAACACAGGCTGCAAGCTGGCCTCAAAGTCACCGTGATCGCCCTGTCTCTGCCTTTGGAGTGCTGGAATTAAACGTGTGTGCAGGATGCCCGGCAGCATTGTTTGTGATAGTATAATCTTGCTTTTCTCTCTTTCTGTAATAATTCTCATATGTTAAAATACCACTGAAAACCCCAGACTACTTTGTTCAGATATGGTGTGCATGAAATTTAAAAACGTACCCATTTTAAACGACAGTTTGTGTTTTGTGGTTGTATACACCCGTGACACCAACACCACAATTTAGACAGTTCTTCCAATAGCCCTTTAAAATCTCCCATGCCTCCTTCCTTGATTCTCTTCTTTCCCACTCTTCCCCAGGTAACAGCTGCCCTGGGTTCTGTTCTCAATTCATACCGTTAGAGTTGGAGGATATACTCTAGTCTGGCTTCATTTGTTCAGCAGAAGTTTGAGACTGTTCCTTGTTACGGCTGGGGACTGTTTCACTGAAATGTGACTGTGCCGCACTTCATTTATCTTCTCACCAGGTAATAGGCATTTGGCTTAGTTTGTGTTTCTGGCTATTATAAATGAAGCTGTTATAGAAGGAAATCCGTGTTACAGGTCTTTGGCTGGCTACTTGTCCATCTCTCTTGGGCCTACAGTGTAGGAGTGTTTTATTTGGTTCTTGCTCATCCTCAGTTCTTGCACTGTCATTTAAGAATATTTTAGCTGTCCTTGTCACCCTTCAGGAGTGTGTCATTGTGCCTTTCTTTCTGTGCATTTCTTTGGTGGCTAGTGGAACTGAGCATCTTGCTTGAATTCCTTATATATCTTAATATTTTTTTGTAAACCAATAAAATTTTTTGTTGTTTGTTTTGTTTTGTTTTTGGAGACCACGTCTTATGATGTAGTCCTTGATGGCTTTGCACCCAGGGCAGTCCTGCTTCAGCCTTCTGAGTGCTGGATTATAGATAGCAGTCTGGCTCTAGAGTCTTTCATCTGCTTTCAAATTAGTGCTTCTCATCATGTTTTTCTTTTAAACTCAGTTCTTCTATTGGCTTCAATTATTTCTTGAGATTTTATGTGTATGGGTGTTTTGTCTCCATGTATGTTTGCACCACATGTTTGTAGTGCTCTAAGTGGGGAGGCCACAAGAGGGTGTTGTGGCCTTTGGAACAGGAGTTACGGATAGTTGTGAGCCACCATGTGGTTACTGGGAACAGGACTGAGGTCCTCTGAAAGAATAGCCAATGCTCCTAACTGCATCTCTCCAGTCCCTCTCCATTAAGAATTACTTTATACTTTTTTTTTGAGACATGTTTCATGTAGAGTAGGGTGCACCAAACCCTTACATAACTGAGGACGGATTTTGGACTCCTGGTCTCCCTGCCTCTGCCTCCTAAGTGTTCAATTACAGGTGTGTACTGTCATACCTGGATTTCTATGGTAATGGGGATTAAGCCCAGGGGCTTTATGCATGCTTGGCAAACACTCTACCAGCTCCATCTCCATCCCGAAAACTATGCTTTTGAATAAGAGTATCATTTTTATGATGTCTGGCACATGAAATTCAGGGACTCCCTCCTCATGGTTTATATGTATTGGTTTTTCCAGACAGGGTTTCTCTGTGTAGCTTTGCGCCTGTCCTGAATCTCACCCTGTAGCCCAGGCTGGCCTCGAACTCACAGAGATCCGCCTGGCTCTGCCTCCCGAGTGCTGGGATTAAAGGCGTGCGCCACCACCTCCCAGCATGGTTTATATTTTTGGTCTGGGGGAAGTTGTTGTTTTTAGCAGTTCCTCCAACAGAGACTTAGGCTTGCTGTTTTCTAGGATGTTAAGTACTCCTTGTAGTAAGGAAGAGGCAAAGGACTTGGACTGGTCAGTGGAGATTAGCCAGCAGCTGCTGTTCTTTAGCTGTGCTTCCTCAGTCTGAGCAACTAACCAAAGCTTACAGAGGTATGGCTTGCTAGACTGTGGTTGTTGTTGTGGTTGCTTTTTGTTTTGTTTCTGTTTTTTGATAGTCACACTCTGTGGCCCTGACTGTCCTGGAACTTGCTATGTAGACCAGGCTGGCCTTAAACTTGGAGGGATCCACCCTCTCTGCCTCCCACGTGCTAGATTAAGGCATATGCCACCACACCTGACTAGTTTACTAATTTGTAGGAAGATGGATAGTTTGGGACTGCGGTAAATAGAGTTGTGTATCAGAAATGTGGTATTTAAACATGGAATCTGGGACTTGTTATAGCACGGTAGTAGAAACCTTTCTATCATAGGTCAGACCTTAAGTTCTATCCTCCCATAAGAAGACCTGAATTTGCCAAGAAATGAGTTTGTAACTTTTCAGTTACTTTAGCACCATGTGTTGCTTCTCCTCACTGTCTTGTGCATTTTCCTGGAAGCGTCCTGGTTTTCTCTGCACCAGTCTTTGGTGTGAGCAGTAGAGGACCAGCGGTGACGGCTGCTTCGCTGGCGGTGGGTATTTAGTGGGGACATGTTAGCTACAGATTGAGTAGGGATCAAAGAAGGGGACAGATCCATAGCAGTGAAGATTTTGTGAAGGGCTTAGCTGGAGAGTCGAGACAGGGTCTAGCTATGTAGCCCAGGCTAGCTTGGAACTCGGCCTCTCGTGCTGAAATGCTGGACTTGCAGGCCAGAGCCACTGTGACTACCAGCATGAACACCCAACATGGTTTTCAAAGATCACCCAAATACTTTGTTCTTCCTTCTTTTCCTAAGCCACCAAAGGAACAGGAAAGCCAACACATTATTATTATTATTATTATTATTATTATTATTATTATTATTAATGTTACTTTATATGTATGGCTGTTTTGCCTGCAAGTATGTCTGTGCACCACTGTGATGTCCATAGAGGCCAGCAGAGGGCATCAGATCCCTGGAACTGGAGTTACGGATGGTTGTGAGCCACCATGTCGGTGCTGGGAATCAAACCCAGGTCCCTAGAAGAGCAGCCAGTGCTCTGAACCACTGAGCCATCTCTCCAGCCCTTGCAGTTGTTTTGTTTCTTGTTTTTTCTCCTGAGACAGGATCTCACCGAGTGGCTGAGACTGGCCGGGAAATTACACAGAGGAGCCTAACCTCAAGCTCAATGACATTCCTGTGCCTCAATTTCCTAAGCACTGGGATTATGGGTGTGATGACTTTTTTTCTGGATTTTTCATACATAGTTTTGGTCCCTCCAATTAAGTTGTTAAGGAGAAGATAAGGACTTGATAATCTCTTTATTTTATGTTCCTGTTCTTAATTTTTCACATAATGGAAATGCTGATGGATCTTGGATGTCCACTTTAATTTGTTCAGAATAATTAATACTTGCTAGGCTAGAGAAAAAAATTGGGGTACATTTTCTTCCTGCTGAATTTACATTTCTCCTGTTAAAGACATTTCTAAGCTTGGTATTTGATACAACTTGGAATTTAAAAAATGTGTAGGTGATGAGTAGCCCGGAGGTCAGTAGTTTGGGTTCCGAACACCCGAGCTTCTTCTGTTTTTTAGACAAGGTCTTCTGTGAGCCCTCCCCTCTTCATTTGTGAGGTTGGCGTCTCATCTGCACTGCCTTTTACAGTTGCTGATGGGGGGTAGGCTGTGGTCAGGGCCTTGGGAGGGTTAGTCATCAGTTACTGTGTCCACGCCTTGTTCGTGGGGCAGGGGCAGATAGTTTTCCAGGACGGTGGAGGAGACTGAGGCCTGCCTGCCTCGAGGTGTGTTTTCCTTTCCTTTTTTTTTTTTTTTTTTTTATGGCTGGGAGAAGATGACATTTCATGATTGCATACATCAGGAAAAGGGCTGCTTTCCTCAAAGGAAGATAACACTTAGCTCTTGCTACCAAAGGAATTGGATTGGGCAGATCAAAACCAAAATCTACCTCTGTGATGGTTTAAATTGGCTGCTGACCAATAGACTCCAGAATCACATTAGAGACAAAGATGGACATACCTGTGAGGGAGATTATAGATCAGATTAACTGGGGTGGAAGGCCCCACCCAGACTGGGCAGTATCGTTTCATGGGTTGGTGCCCTGGCTGAGCAGGCACGTCCTCTTTCTCTCCTTCCTGACTGTGATGCTTTGTAACCTCATCTTCCTGCTGCCTGCCCTCCCACGATGGACTGTGCTCTCAAACTCTTCCTCCGAGATGGCTTTCCTGAGGTCTCTTGTGTGTGAGAGAAGTACTGCTGTAGGTTCTAACGGTGTAACCTAGCCCAGACGCTCCAGTCCTTAGAGATTCGCCCTCACAGTAAAATGACATTTGTTAAGTGCTCTTAAAGACTGGCCCACTTTATATGCCAGTGACATTTCCCTGTCTTTTGTGAATACTCTTAACAAGAGATTTATTTTTATCTTATGTGTGTGAATGCTGCCTGCATACATATATATGCACCACGTGCCTAACTGTTGTCCTTGGAGGCCAGAAGAGATCGTTGGGTCCCCTGGAACTGAAGGTAAGTCATCATGTGGGTGCTGGGAACTGAACCTAGGTCTTCTGCAAGAGCAGCAAGTGCACTTAACCATTGAACCATCTTTCCAGCACCCGTTGCTACTTTTAATTGAGTAAGTGATTTAATTACATTTTCCCCTGTATTATTTAGTGAGTTTTTCCCATTTATGGAAATTACAGGGTTATTACTAAAACATTAAATGAGATCTATATGCTAAAAATATAAAAGAAGAAACAGAAGTGTAAAGAAAAAAATTTTTGAAGCAGAGTTTAGCTCTGTAACCCATGCTGAATTGTATATATTTCCCAGGTTGGTTTTGAACTCACAGCACTCCTCCTGCCTCCACCTCCTGAGTGCTGAGATTACAGGCATGGGCCATCACATCTGGTTGTTGTGATTTGTGATAAAGGTAAGTTCCCCAGCCCATTGAAAAGTATCTGTCTCAGGCTGAGGAAATCATCTTTTTCCCAGAAGAGGGGATTCTTGAGCAGTTTGGACAACAGGCAAGCATTAGGAAAATGAAGAGTGGCCAGGTTCTCACAGCGTCCATTGAGGCATAGGAGCTGAGCCTTGGAAGTGGCTCATAACATCAAGGGCCAGAGGAGACCATGAGGAGATCTAATGGGATGACAGGTGGCAAAGCCCTTTAACTAAGCTAGAAAGGAAGGACACGATAGGCCTTATATTTCTGAAAAATGATACAGTATAAAATTGGAACCACCGAAGACCAGTGTCCTTGTAAAGAGTGGTCGTGGAAGGGGAAGGATTGCAGAGAGGAGGCTATGGGGAGCGAGCACAGATGTGGACATGGAGGGCTCTCTCTGTTCTGGAGAAGCTGCATGGTGGATGTGGGATGAGCCCTTCAGAATAGAGACAGGACTGGGACTAGTCAGCCTGTGATGGAGGCTGAAGCCACGGGTGTTTAGAGCGACAGGAAGGAGATGAGATACAGGGAGGGAGGCCTCATTAGAGCTGTGAAGTGCACACCAGAGAAATAAGGAGAAAACACAAAACATTTTATTACAGCTGGGGAATAGAGTGTTAAAGGGCTGACTTAGTACTGTGAACTCAATTCCACTAGGCT